GCATTCTTGGAATTAGACTTTGAAATCTGTTACTAATATAATAGCAAGTCTTTCATCGCTTTGTCTTATCACTTTTCTCTTGACAATATCTTGCATTAATCCTTTTTTTCTGCATATGCAAACTTATGCAGCTACCAAGAGAACATGGCTGCCCCCTGCCTACAACCCACTGTCCTGGAACTAATGGACCATGCTGTGCTGGTGTATTAGGCATATTAGGAAGTTTACCAGATATGTATATATGTTTTCTTATGATATTAATTAAGATCCACACTTTCAGCATTGTATGCTAATTACAATGTACCTGGCACCTGAACTGGCCCCCCTAGATCAGGCCGTGCTGCCCCTGGTGTCCCCACTACCCTTATTGAAACTAACTTTATGGCTCGCTGCGCTCCCTGCCTTCCCCCCTTTAATTTTACATCAAAATAAGCCTCCACGCAGTGAGGAAGCACTGCTTTACCCTACCTCGTGGCTGTCAATTCCAGAATGACTTCAATTGCGAGGCTGAGCAGCGCCAGCGTGCGTAACGTCATAGGTATACCATAGAGAGTGAGCGCAGACCGGGAGCATACAGTGCGGGGCTACCATGTGGCACTGAAGAGCATAAGCAGAGAAGCGCAAGCAAAGGGGAGCAGAGAGCACAGCAAGCAAGGGGGGAGCAGAGCAAACAAAGGGGAGCAGGTAAGGGGGAGCAGAGAGCAGAGTAAGTGAGTGGGAGCAGAGCAAATAAAGTGGAGCATAGCAAGTAAGGGGGAGCAGAGCAAGTAAGAGGGATCAGAATAGGGATCGACCGATATTGATTTTTAGAGCCGATACCGATACCGATAATCTGCGAACTTTCAGGCCGATAGCCAATATCTTGCCGATATTCTGTACATTTACTATTTTGAATAAATAAACTAATTCGAAAGGTAAATGCACAAAATATACATGCCACATGTAGTGGATGAAGTGTGTTTAGACAGGGGAACTGTGTGTGTTTGTGTAGTGTGTGTGTATATAATGCAGTGTGTGTAGTGTGTATATAATGCAGTGTGTTTATGTAGTGTGTGTATATAATGCAGTGTGTTTATGTAGTGTGTGTATATAATGCAGTGTGTTTATGTAGTGTGTGTGTATAATGCAGTGTGTTTTTGTGTGTGTATGTAATGCAGTGTGTGTTTGTGTAGTGTGTATGTATGTAATGCAGTGTGTGTGTGTAGTGTGTGTTTGTGTAGTGTGTATGTAATGCAGTATGTGTACTGTGTTTGTGTAGTGTGTATGTAATGCAGTGTGTGTCTGTAATGCAGTATGTGTGCAGTGTGTGTTTGTGTAGTGTGTGTTTGTGTAGTGTGTATGTAATGCAGTGTGTGTGCCTGTGTAGTGTGTGTGTATGTAATGCAGTATGTGTACTGTGTTTGTGTAGTGTGTATGTAATGCAGTGTGTGAATGTAATGCAGTGTGTGTGCAGTGTAGTGTGTGCAGTGTGTGTCTGTAATGCAGTATGTGTGCAGTGTGTGTTTGTGGTGTGTGTGTAGTGTCTGTCTGTGTAGTGTGTGTATGTAATGCAGTGTGTGTGTCTGTGTAGTGTGTGTATGTAATGCAGTGTGTGTGTATGTAATGCAGTGTGTGTGTGTTTGTGTAGTGATGTAATTTGTGTAATTTTTTATTTTAATATTTTTTTTAATATTTAAATGTTTTTTTGTTTAGTCCCCCCCCCAGTGTGTGTTTGTGTAGAGTGTGTTTGTGTCTGTGTAGTGTGTATGTAATGCAGTGTTTGTTTGTGTAGTGTGTGTTTGGGTGTGTGTGTAGTGATGTAATTTGTGTAATTTTTTATTTTAATATTTTTTTTAATATTTAAAAATGTTTTTTTTTTTTGTTTAGTCCCCCCTCCCTGCTTCTTACCAGGGAGGGGGATATAGTATTCCCTGGTGGTCCAGTGGCTTGTTAACTACAGTGGTGGCTCAGCAGCAGCAAGCGCTGACTTACCTTGCAAGCAGCTCCCTATGTAAATCTCGCGGCTCTTAGTGCCGCGCGGAGCGTTGCCATGGTAACCCGTGGCAACGCTCTGCGGCCGCGGGTCTCGCGAGATTTACACAGAGAGCTGTAGGAGCTGCATGCAAGGTAAGTCAGCGCTTGCTGCTGGCCCCCACAGGACCGCCGGGCTTGTAATGGGCACGGCGGTCCTGTTATATATTATCGGCAATATCGGTATCTGAATTGGCCGATACCGATATTGCCGAAAATACCAAATATCGGCCGATAATATCGGCCAGACCGATAATCGGTCGATCCCTAGATCAGAACATATAAAGGGGAGCAAAGCAGGTAAGGGGAGCAGAGCGCAGAGCAAGTAAGGGGGAGCAGAGAGCAGAGCAAGTAAGGGGGAGCAGAGACCAGAGCAAGTGAGGGGGGAGCACAGAAACATAGAATGTGACGGCAGATAAGAACCATACGGCCCATCTAGTCTGCCCAATTTTCGAAATATTTTCATTAGTCCCTAGCCTTATCTTATAGTAAGGATAGCCTTATGCCTATCCCACGCATGCTTAAACTCCTTTACTGTGTTAACCTCTACCACTTCAGCTGGAAGGCTATTCCATGCATCCACTACCCTCTCAGTAAAGTAATACTTCCTGATATTTTTAAACCGTTGTCCCTCTAATTTAAGACTATGTCCTCTTGTTGTGGTAGTTTTTCTAAAATAAAGCAAATAAAGGGAAGCAGAGCAAGCAAAGGGGAGCAGAGAGCAGAACAAGTAAGGGGGAGCAGAGAGCTAAGAAGGTAAGGGGGAGCAGAGCAAATAAGTGGGAGCACAGCAAGCAAAGGGGAGCAGAGAGCCGAGCAAGTAAGGGGGAGCATAGCAAACAAAGGGGAGCAGAGCAAGTAGGGAGGAGAAGAGCAAGCCAAGGGGCGCAGACAGCAGAGCAAGTAAGGGAGAGCAGAGTAAGTAAAGGGGAGCAGAGGAAGTAGAGGGGAATAGAGAACCGAGCAAGTAGAGAGAAATAGAGTAAGCAGGCAGAGAGGAGCTTTACTTACCGGAGACTGTAGACAGCTTGCATCGTGTCCACACCTAAGGTGTTACAGTGACACCTTACCTACCTGAGATTGGAGACAGTTTGCAGTGCAGACAGATGTAAGGTGTGAAATCTTACCTACCTGAGAGTGCAATTTGCAGAGGGACACTCCAGACATTGGCATTACTACTGTAAGTAACATGAACTTTAATTGAAGCTTTTGAGTAAATGATATGTATGTACCCAGGATTGCATATTGTGCGCATAATGAAACAAGTAATTTTAGTTTTAGTTAGTGTTGGTAAAGGATTCACCAACTTTTATACAGGTCATAGGCAGGTCAGGGCAAAAAGTTTAGTTGAATTAAGCAGTTTTGGTGTGTAAATCATGCCCCTGCAGTCTCACTGCTCAATTACCTGCAGTTTAGGAGTTAAATCACTTTGTTTTTACAGCTCTTGGCACATCTCCCCTACCCGTGACTCCGCCTCAATGAAAAACAGTAATTTTACTTACCGTAAATTCCTTTTTTCTTAGTATAGTGGCAGTACTCACAAGTGGGATGTTCCTTCTAGGCTGGACAAGAAGCTCCCCCTTCTGTGAAAGATAATTGTGTGCTCCGCCTGCTGCCCCTATATAACCTGTAACTTAGAGAACTCCAGTAATAAAAAATAACCAAACGGAGACTGAATACTGCAAAAGTTATTTAATCCATATAAAAGTGGAGGGAAAGACAGTACTGCCACTATACTAAGAAAAAAGGAATTTACGGTAAGTAAAATTACTGTTTTTTCTCATGTATAGTGGCAGTACTCACAAGTGGGATATAGCAAGATCCCTGCAAAACGAGTAGAGGGTGGGAACTTAGAAGGCTACAGCCTGTAGCACCTTACGCCCAAAAGCAGCTTCAAAGGATGAGAATATGTCCAGCCTATAATGTTTAATAAACATATGCAATGAAGACCAAGTAGCCGCTTTACAGATGTCTTCAGGTGAGGCCTCTGCTTTTTCTGCCCAGGAAGTTGCTATAGCCCTAGTGGAATGGGCCTTCAATGGTAACTCCTTTGGATTTATAAGCCAACTTAATGGTATCAGTAAGCCATCTGGATAAAGAAGGCTTGGAGGCAGTACAACCCTTGTTAGTGCCCTGAAAGGAGACAAAAAGACGATCCGAGGTCCTAAAGCCTTGTGTTCTCTGAAGGTAAAGTTTCAATGCTCTTCTAACATCAAGGAGATACCACTTTCTTTCAATATCCGATGAAGGAGATTGGCAGAAGGAAGGCAGAATAGGTTGGTTCACAGATGTACTAGAAATCAACTTGGGCAAAAATGAAGGCCTGGGGTGCAGGACTACTTTGTCTTGATGAAAAACAGTAAATTTAGGAGCGGAAGATAGAGCCCGAATTTCACCTATCCTTCTAGCGGAGTTGATTGCCACCAGGAACACCGTCTTGAAAGTAAGCAGTTTTAGGGGAACCTCTAGTAACGGTATAAATGGTGGTTCACAAAGGGCTTAAAGAATCAAGGACAAATCCCAGGTAGGAAAAGGAGAGATCCTGGGAGGACGTTTCAGACGTATGTATTTAAAATAACCTTTGGATAAGCAAGTCTGAGGCAATGTCACGAAACAGGAAGTGACTTAACGCTGAAATCTGGCCCTTGAGTGTAGAGACCCCTATGCCGGCTACAAAACCATCCTGTAAAAAAGAAAGAATATCCAGGATTGATTGTCAGGTTTCAAAACTGACATGTAAGACTTTTTCGTTTATTACTGACCCTTTAAGTGAACTTCATGATTTTCTCCTCTAGTGGCCTCCCCAGCCACTAATCTATTCACTCATCTTAATAACCTCACCTGGATTAACTAATTAGGAGGCTTGATAAGTCTACTCCCGGCACACAACAGTGCCTTGACATTGAAGTCAATGCTCTGATAAAGAATCTATGTTCCTGGTAATATCCTGTATGTTATCTACATTATTTCATTCTGTAGAGAACTCACCTGCAGTGCCTCATCCTGTACTCATCTGCATTTCCTCATACTGAAAGGCACTAACCTGCATTACTTCATCCTGAACTTGCCCGAATTACATCTTACCGAAAGACTTTCCTTATCAGCTTCTAAGAATCCTGATTTGTGGCGTATTGCCTTCATTGAAGAATCTTAACTGCTTCAATTGCTGCATCACTGCATGATCTCATAAGCAACCTGCATTATATTATTTTGGAATATACCTACCTGTTTCAACCTCTGCAACGCTACATGATCCTGTATTGTCCTATCCAAAAAGGTATTTACCTATAACTAGCTGCATTGCAAAGTATCCTGGAAATCCTTAACTACTTGGTATAACTTCAAGCTTGCTTGTATACAAAAGACTTTATTCATTTACTTTCTAAAGATATTGTTTGTGGCATATCGCCTAAACCCTGTTTTTTCTCACAAAGTATCCTGTTTGTGGCAGACTGCCCTTTATTCTTTATTTCAGTAAATTTGTTATGTCTAATACGACAAATAAAGTTTAAACCAATAACCCTTGCAATCATCTCCTCTCTGACCTGCTCAGGAGCATGACATTGATGCTCTGGCAGGATCCAAACCCTAAATGGAACACCAGATCCTGAACTTCATCCAAACCCTAAAATAAATTCTTGCAGTTGACAAGCGAACTGAAGACAGAAGAACGTCACACAAACGGTCTGAAAGACTTTGTTCTTGGAGGATCAACCTTGCAGCAGCCATGCAGTCAGGTGGAACATTTCCAGGGTTTCTATGGGAAGAGTCACATGATCTATGACGTTGGTAGAGATAGGGAGAGACCAACGTGAGATTGTCATGTTTTTCACTTTTGAAAACCAACTTCTGTTCGGCCAGAAGGGTAGGATGGCTGGAATCCTTGCTTTCTCCCATCTTATCTTCTGAACAATCCTTGGAATTAGCGATATCCGAGGGAAAACGTAACTCATGTTGTAGTTCCAAGTGATCGATAGGCCATCTAAGAAGTCTGGGCAATCTCGTGCTTGGAGAGAAGCAAAAGTCTGAACTTTCCTGTTTCTCCTCGTGGCCATAAGGTCGATATCCGGAAGGCCGAAGCGGGTAACCAACTCCAAGAAAACTTGGTTTGAGAGGGACCAGTCTGCCTGAGATCAATGACGCCTGCTGAGGTCGTCTGCGATTATGTTCAGAGACCCTCTGATATGAGTAGCCGAGATTGCGATCAGTCTTGATTGGGCCCAAGACATGATGTGAAAGCATAGGTCCTGCAGAGCTTTCACCCTTGTGCCTCCTTGGTGATTTACGAAAGCCACTGTTGTGGAGTTGTCTGACTGGATCCTCACTACCCGATTGGCGATAACTGCATCGAAAGACTTTAGTGCCTTTCAACTCCCTGAAGTTGGAGGAAGCAATTGCCTCTTCCCTTCCAAATACTTTGACAGAACTGAGAACCTAGATAGGCGCCCCAACCTGTCTGGGAAGCATCTCTGGTTATCGTAATCCAATCTTTTTGTACGAAAGAGAGGCCTTTTGATATTTTGTTTTTGTCTTTCCACCAATTCAGTTGTTTGTTCACCCCTTTGGATAGGTGAAAGGCAGAGTCTAGATCCTCCTGTTGTCTTGACCATTGAGAAAGAATGTCCCATTGTAATGGTCTTCATTCCGCTTTTGCCCAAGCCACTGCTGGGACTGCAGAAGTGAGGAGACCCAGTACACTCATTGCTTCCCTGATGGAGCTTGAGTTTTTCTGCAGACTTGACACGGCTTTGTAAATCCGTCTTTCTTTTGACCTTGGAAGGAAAAGAGACAGGGACCTTCAGTCTACTCGAAGTCCCAGGAATTCCAGACTTAATGAAGGAATCAACTTGGACTTTTTTAGGTTTAGGAGCCAACCATGTTCTTTTAAAACTTTTATAGCGATATCGAGGTGTGATCTTAGTAGCTGTTCTGATTGGGCTTTCAAGAACTAATCGTAACTATAGAGATACCTCTCAGGTGTAAGGCTGCTGCTATGGGAGCCAGGATTTTTGTAAATAAGCGAGGAGCTGATGCCAGGCCAAAGGGTAGCGCCTTGAACTGAAAATGGAGAATTCCTCGTCTTCCCGATAAGACTGCAAATCTGAGGAACTTCCGGGACATGGAGGTAGGCATCTTTCAGATCTAATTTTGCCATGAATTCCCCCTTTTGAATGATGTGAGTGACAGACAGAATATTTTCCATACTAAATTTTTGATACGGTATACAAGTGTTGACCTTCTTGAGGTCTAGGATAGGACAGAAGGATCCGTCTGGTTTTTGCACCAAGAACAGAAGAGAGTAAACTCTCTGAAATTCCCATTGTTTGGGTACCTGCTCTACCACATCCTTGCATAAAAGGATAAGAGATTCTGCCAGGAGTGCCTACGATTTCTTTATCGACGGATAACTTGACAGCAGGAAAGATGGTTGTGGTTTTGCAGAAAACTTGATTTTGTAACCTTCTGCAATGGTTCTTAGAATCCAACAGTTTGACGTTATCTTTTTCCATTCGTGAGCGTGGCTGTAGGTAGCTTGTGTATGGCACCCTCAGCTACCCTTACAGCTACTGTGCGCCGGTGCGAGTTTGGGCCTTGACCTTGTGTGGTTGTACCACGGTTAGAGTGGCCCCAGAGTCTCTCATAGCTCGGGCCCCCACGCCATCCACTGTAATCCATTGACGTGGTGGTCCCGGTTATCGCCTCCGGTTTGTACAGGATTGACCTCATGTAGGACACTCCACTGTTCTTCTTGGTTGGGGACGTAGGCAACACTTTCCTGCTGGACACAATGGGCGGCTGCCCTGGGCTGGTGGGGTGGTTGTCTTTCCCAGCTTCCCCGGTTCAAACGAGGGCACTGGTTTTTGTAATCTCCTGGTTGCTTACAATAATGACACACTGCAGGGGGTCGGGGCGTTGCTGCTGGGCCTTGTGGCGGGTTAGTTATGGAGGCTCTAGGTGGTGCAGATGTTGTTGGAGTGGGGTAGTTGGGCTTAAAAGTTGGTCTGCTCACCCCCTGTTGTCCTGGTACTCATCCGCTAGTCTGGCGGTTTCCTCCACAGTTTTAGGTTTTCTGTCTTTTACCCAATCTTTTATATCGTCTGCTGTGTGGTTAAAAAATTGCTCCAATAGTATGAGCTGTACGGCATCCTCCAGGGTAGTTACTTGGCAGCCCTGCATCCAATTCCGGGCTGCCCTGTGCAGCCGAAAAGCCCATTCAGTGTGAGAATCTCTCCCTGTCTTCCGAAGTTCCCGAAACGTTTTCCTGTACGCCTCTGAGGTCACAGCGTATCTGGCCAACAAAATGTCTTTTACCTTGTCATAATTGTGTATGTCCCCATCAGGTACTGCTCGCAACGCCTCTGCTGCTCTTCCTGACAGCTTGCTGCTAAGTACTGCAGCCCATTTTGTGGAGTCTAATCCCTCCAGCGCACATTGACGTTCAAAGTCTTGCAAATAACTGTCAAATTCCATGTAATTGTCATTAAAAGTTTGAAACGCTGCATAGTTTACCTTCTTTGGTAGGTCATTTGTACTTTCCCGGGAGTGTAGCAAATCCCCCTGTAATAGTCTGTCTCGGTCCTCTCGCTCTTTTTGCAATTGCCTGGCTTGTGCCATGACCTGCAGAACCGCCTCTGTTGATGGATTGGGTCCCAATACACTGAGCATCCATCTGATATCCTTCTGCATCTCGGTTTCTTCCTCATGCTCCATCTCTGTATTGCTGGTTCCGTCGCTCTGTATTAACTCCGCAATTAACGTGGCTTTTGTCTTGTTACTTGCCACTACGCCTCGAGCTTCCAGTAAATCTTTTAGCGTGGTTCTCTTAAGTAGCTGGTATTGCTGAGCCATTCATTCCCTTGCTTGGTTCAGGACGTCCATTCGGGATTTGAATCCCTCCGCTTGCCACCAGTTGTAAGGAAACCTGGTATATGTAATCCTCATTCGGTAGTTTCCTCCCGAATCGCCAGAGCATCAGTTCGGTAGATGAAATAGACGAAATGTATACTAATACAAATAGCTTTATAAGATAATTCCCTTAATAAAGCACACGAAGCTTGGACTTGTCACCAGTGGGGTACCTCAGGGATCTGTACTTGGACCCATTCTCTTTAATATTTTTATTAGTGATATTGCAGAAGGTCTTGATGGTAAGGTATGTCTTTTGCTGATGATACTAAGATATGTAACAGGGTTGATGTTCCAGGAGGGATAAGCCAAATGACAAATGATTTAGGTAAACTAGAAAAATGGTCAGAATTGTGGCAACTGACATTTAATGTGGATAAGTGCAAGATAATGCATCTTGGACGTAAAAACCCAAGGCAGAATACAGAATATTTGATAGAGTCCTAACCTCAACAATTGAGGAAAGGGATTTAGGGGTGATTATTTCTGATGACTTAAAGGTAGGCAGATAATGTAATAGAGCAGCAGGAAATGCTAGCAGAATGCTTGGTTGTATAGGGAGAGGTATTAGCAGTAGAAAGAGGGAAGTGCTAATGCCATTGTATAGAACACTGGTGAGAACTCACTTGGAGTATTGTACACAGTACTGGAGACCATATCTTCAAAAAGATATTGATACCTTAGAGAAGGTTCAGAGAAGGGCTACTAAACTGGTTCATGGATTGTGGGATAAAACTTACCAGGAAAGGTTAAAGGATCTTAACATGTATAGCTTGGAGGAAAGACGAGACAGGGGGGATATGATAGAAACATTTAAATATATAAAGGGAATCAACACAGTAAAGGAGGAGACTATATTTAAAAGAAGAAAAACTACCACAACAAGAGGACATAGTCTTAAATTAGAGGGACAAAGGTTTAAAAATAATATCAGGAAGTATTACTTTACTGAGAGGGTAGTGGATGCATGGAATAGCCTTCCAGCTGAAGTGGCAGAGGTTAACACAGTAAAGGGGTTTAAGCATGCGTGGGATAGGCATAAGGCTATCCTAACTATAAGATAAGGCCAGAGACTAATGAAAGTATTTAGAAAATTGGGCAGACTAGATGGGCCAAATGGTTCTTATCTGCCGTCACATTCTATGTTTCTATGTTTCTATGGAAGTCTTCTGTGACTGGCTACCCGTGGGCTGGCTGCCCAAAATAGTTCCATGAGTTTGGGTGGTTTTGCCGGTCACTTCAGTAAAGGGGTAAAAACTGAATAAAATACTGAATGGATTCCCCTGGCTCTCAGCAGTGATTGTTCCCCTCAGTCGAATGCACAAAAGTACCGAATAGCGCTCTTCTAGCTATTCAGGAACTATAGATCCAGCGTTCGCCTGTTGGGGACCGGTGTTCGGGAAGTCGAGTGTCGAATGATTTTAGTTCAAGTCCCGCTGCCTTTGTTCGGCTGAAAAAAGATGGCCGCGGTTTTCTCAGCCACGTGGCGTTCGGTAGTACGAACGCTGGCCGCACAGATAGAGGGGTCAATTGACAAATGCTTTGAAGCTTAATGAGCCAGGGGGGTGGTCTTTGTTCGGTAGTTAGATCTACCAAATGAATAAGGGAGAACTTGGGTGCATAGAGAGGGATTTCTTCACAGCGTTCCATAAAGCAAACCCCTGAAGTATGCCTTGCCGCTCAGCTCCCGCCCGGGGAGATATCGGGCACTCACCTCCCCGATCAGCAGCCTGTGCTGACCGCACCATTCTCCACCTGGGCCTGGAGGAGTTTGTCCGTCCCGTTGCTGGAACAAGAAGAACTGGAGTTCTCCTCTAAGTTACAGGTTATATAGGGGCAGCAGGCGGAGCACATAATTATCTTTCAAAGAAGGGGGAGCTTCTTGTCCAGCCTAGAAGGAACATCCCACTTGTGAGTACTGCCACTATACGTGAGAAAAAATAAGTTTTATTTTTACTGTATTTGTTTACTTTAAAGATGTTTAGCTCTTACTGAGGCGTTGCTTTGAGGAAAAAAGACCAGGTCCTTTTATTATTATTTCTTCAATAACCCAGATATTTCTGATTTGGAACTGTTCAAACCAATAAAGAAAATGGCTACTGAGCACAATGTATGTTGCCATAGAATGTCAAGACATGACATTTTAAAATTCATAACATGCAGTCTGCTAGGACAATATAAAACACATCTCTTATGTTATTAATTCATCCATGAAGAGATGGGTTTTATATTGTCATGGTATACTGCTTTTAATTAATTTTACATTGTCATGGCAGTCTATTGCAGCTTGCACAGCAGTCATTTTCTTTGGTATGATAATGGGATAGTAGCTATTTTCTTTATTGGTGTAAACAGTTCCAAATCAGAAATATCTGGGTTATTGAATGACAGGTTAAAACCGACAGGTTCAATGACAGATTTTTATAATAATGACCAAACATTTTTACCTCTCCAAGTCATTAAGCCACATTAACATTATCCCCCACCCACATCAATTGTTGAAGTGTGGACTGAACGGGTTGGGGTGAATAATGAAAGTGTGACTGAATGACTTGGACAGTTAAAAAATGGATAATGAGCATTATTAAAAAAACAAACTAACCAGGGAAGATGAGATGTATGTTTTGAAAATGCCAATCATCATCCATTTTTAAAATACTTCCAAGACATTTAGTCAGATTACTGTGTTCCCTCCATGCAGGCCACACTACCCTAAATGATGGGGGGGATGCAAATGGGACTGAGAATCTTTGAGTCCTGTGTCATTTCTGTCCTCAGTTTGCCAGTGCTATCTATGTCCCCAAACAGCTTGCCGGTTATGCATGAGGAGCAAATATAAAAGCCCTACGTCCTTTTTGTGTGTCCAGGTTATAAACAGTGTAATTTTAAATTGTGTTTAAAAGGCAATTTCCCTATTCAGAAATAATAATGGTGCAGTGTGCAGGTGCAAGTCCTGTCTTAGCAGTATGGGTGCAAGAGCAAGTCCAATTTATGCAATAATGTGGGTGCTGAAGAAGGGAATAAAAACAAGAAATACATTTTTCCACTAATATTTTTTCCATGTGAAAAAGTGTTGCATATAATATTACAAAGTTCATATAAAAGTGTCAATGCAAATATATATATATATATATAGTGATGTCCCGAACGGTTCGCCGCGGACTCATCATTGAGTAAACTTTGACCCTGTACCTCACAGTCAGCAGACACATTCCAGCCAATCAGCAGCAGACCCTCCCTCCCAGGCCCTCCCACCTCCTGGACAGCTCACTAAGAATGCAGCTTCACAATGAAGTATGGAGCTGTCCAGGAGGTGGGAGGGTCTGGGAGGGAGGGTCTGCTGCTGATTGGCTGGAATGTGTCTGCTGACTGTGAGGTACAGGGTCAAAGTTTATGTTTATGTTCGCCGTACCGTTCGGGACATCACTATATATATATATATATATATATATATATGTACACATCATATATATGTAACACCATACATAGTGTATTTTAATGTTAATTTAAGTACATATATTAGTATTAAAATACACTTAGAATGACATTACATATATACAAGATATATCATATATATATATATATATATATATATTTTATGTTTATATGTATGTATAATAATAATAAATAAAATAATAAAATAGTTTAAAAAAATGAAAATAAATTATATATACAAATATGTAATTTCATTCTAACTGTATTTTGTTGTTAATATATATATATATATATAGGTAACAAAATACACTTAGAATGCAATATATATATATATATATATATATATATATATATATACACAAATAACCACAAATATTTATATATAATTACATAAATAACTACATAAGTATACACGTTGAATTTAAATACATATATATGTGATTCAATTAATTAAAATTTGATTGACGCGCCTGACAACCCAGGCAGAAAGTGCAGAGAATTTAATTTGCAAGCACTATATTTAACCCTGTAACTTTCCAAGACACCATAAAATCTGTACATGGGGTGTACTGTTTTACTCAGGAGACTTCGCTGAACACAAATATTAGTGTTTCAATATGGTAACTTATATTACAACGATATTTTTAGTAAAAGTTACATTTTTTGCATTTTTCACACATGAACAGCACTTTTACTGACGATATTGTTGTAATATGTTTTACTGTTTTGAAACACTTATGTTTGTGTTCAATGAAGTCTCACAAATATAACAGTACCCCTCCCATGTACAGGTTTTATGGTGTTTTGGAAAGTTAGAGAGTCAAAAATAAGGCTTGCATTCATTTTTTTTCACATTGAAATTTGCCAGATTGGTTATGTTGCCTTTGAGACCGTATGGTAGCCCAGGAATGAGAATTACCCCCATGATGGCATACCATTTGCAAACGTAGACAGCCCAAGGTATTGCAAATGGGGTATGTCCAGTCATTTTTAGTAGCCATTTAGTCACAAACACTGGCCAAATATTTGGTTTTTTTTTGCTTTTTTTCACACAAAAACAAGTACGTAGGCTAACTTTGGCCAGTGTTTGTGACTTAGTGGCTACTAAAAAAGACTGGACATACCCCATTTGCAATACCTTGGGCTGTCTACGTTTACAAATGGTATGCCATCATGGGGGTAATTCTCATTCCTGGGCTACCATACGGTTTAAAAGGCAACATAACCAAACTGGCAAATTTCAATGTGAAAAAAATGAAAAATGGAATGTGTTATATTTGACCCTGTAACTTTCCAAAAAAACTGTAAAAACTGTTAATGGGTGTGAGGGTGGGGTGGGGGGGGGGGATTTAATTGCAGGTAAAGCTAACAGTATTATGACATTTACAGCTAAAATGTCAGGCGAAACTACAATTTTTTTTAAATCTTAATTTCTCAGTTTTTTTATTTTATTCATAATAAATTATGTTCCATATATAAATATTTGATATGAAATTAAAGCCCTGTTTCCCCTGAACAAAATGATATATAATAAGTGTGGGTGCATTTAATATGAAAAAGGAGCATTACAGGTGAAAAGACATATAGCGCAAATTCCAGTGTTTGTTTTGATCAGAACGTGCACTATTGACTCCGTCCTGAAGGGGATAATGGATCTGATGTTTACATTTCTTTAGCATTGTTCTACTTCTGGTACATTTGAAAATGAAATAATTCTCCAATCTTATTTTTATTTAATTTTTCGGTATTCTCTACACGACCACTGACACGTTTACTTTGCGTCCACCCCACCCTACCCCACCCCACTCCACTCCACTCCTGGCAATGCCCCAACCCCGCTCGACGCGCAGTAGGACGGAGAAGCCATCCACCAAGCAGCGCGTGCTCACGCCGCCTGACTGACACACAGTCAATGTAAACAAAAACATTACCTCGCACGCGCAGCCGGCCACGCGGCCGGCGCTTCCGCTTCCGCTCAGGAAGCCACATCCAGGGCCGGTGGGCGGGGACTGAGTGCATTGTTGATGTCCAGGAAGGTGTCCTGGTTTTCGCTGATAGCTGATTTCTGTGGGTGCAGCCGGGGTGCGCGCTCATTGGCCGGCAGGTGGGTAAAAAGCGGCAGACTACACGCTAGGTTCGGCTGTACCAGTTCATATGGCAGGGGTGACTAACTTGTAGCTCACTAGCTGTTGTAAAACTACAACTCCCAACATGCTTTGACAGCGTTTTGGCTGCGAAGGCATCATGGGAGTTCTAGTTCTCCAATAGCTGGTGGTCTACTGTTTGCTCTCTCCTGCTCCAAGCAGTAAGGGGACATGTGTCCATTGCTAGCTATATGCACAGAGCATACATTCACTTCCTACTCAGGGTGGCAGGAAACACTTTTAGCCCAATTATAACTTGTATACTTACAGTATTAGTGTTTTCTCAATTACTTTAAACATTTAGACTTTTTAAGTTAATAACTTTATTATTGTGACTGTTCTGATTTTACTTTATTAAATAAAACCATGATAAATGGTAATCTTGTGCACTCTCCTCTTTAGTGATTGATATACTTGTTGTTAAATTGCCCTTAGTTATATCATATTTTGGACCTAGACATAAAGGTGAAAATATTGTTTCGTTCAGAATGAGGGTGGAAACTCCATATTTGTGTGATTTGTCATCAGCTGGCCATAAAATTGTACTGATTTATACGTGAAAACGCAATGACCAACTGATAAGTTTCAAAAAAGGCCAGTTAGAATAAAACATAAATTTAGCTATTTTTTGTTTCAAATTTAGTGTCAAAGTTTTTTTCTTTCATACTACATATATTTAAAGGACCACTCTAGGCTCCCAGACCACTTCAGCTTAATGAAGTGGTCTGGGTGCCAGGTCCCTCTAGGATTAACACTTAAAAAAAAAAAAAAAACATAGCAGTTTCAGAGAAACTGCTATGTTTATAATAGGGTTAATCCAGCCTCCAAATCCTCTAGTGGCTGTCTCATTGACAGCCGTTAGAGGCGCTTGCGGGATTCTCACTGTGACAATCACAGTGAGAACACGCAAGCGTCCATAGGAAAGCATTGTAAATTGTAAATGCTTTCCTATGAGACTGGCTGAATGCATGCGCATTCAGCCGAAGGGGAGGAGAGGAGGAGGAGAGCTCCCCGCCTGGCGCTGGAAAAAAGGTACGTTTTAACCCATTCCTCTCCCCAGAGCCGGGCGGGTGGGGGCACCCTCAGGGCACTATAGTGCCAGGAAAACGAGTATGTTTTCCTGGCACTATAGTGGTCCTTTAAAGGAACACGACAAGCGCCATAGCCTGAATTAGTGGTTTCATTATCAGGGGTGCCTTGGCGCAGTAAAAGTTTAACTTGTGAAACCTATTTAAAATGGTTCCACAAGAAAAACCGGCTGATGTAACCCTTGCTTCCAGAATTGTCCAATGTATACCATGCAGAACGTGTCTCTCAGCAATGAGCATGGTCCTGAATCAGCCATCCTTTATTTCTACGGATAAGTCCAGCTTTTCCTGCAGCTAAGCTTTCAAACCGTTCTAAAATGTTTGACAAATTACACTGATTATTCAACAAGGCACTCCCGGTACCATAACCACTAAAGTGTGATAAAGTGGATATGGTGCTTGGAGTGTTACTTTTACATTTGGAGTGGGCAATCTTTATTGTTGTATCTGGTTCAACTGCAATTACAACTCAGATAATACTCATCCAGCCAAAAGCTTAGTGAATAAAAACATTTAAAAAAACCCAAAAAAAACCTTCTCAATGTTAGAGTTAAATAGTTTTTAAATAGTTTACATATACTTATATTCCAATTCTTCTTCACAGATATTGCTAAAATGGTAAGGATACTCAGAGCACCATAACCACTGCAGTAGGACTAAACTCCAAAATTTATAGAAATAAATCTGTTTTGCAAAACACAGACAAAAGTAGCCAAGCTGTGTCTACATATGAATTAGACAATTATTTTAGATTAGTTATTTTTAGCCTCAGTTTTGCTACTCCGATTTGTTTACCTACTATTCAGAGTTTGCTTCGCTCTCTGGACTAGGAGAGGTCTACCCACTGGAAGCTGGATCCTGATCTTGGGTCCAGGGTGGGTGGAGGACAGAGAGACCCCAACCAAGCTGCAGCGGTTTGTGGAGTTCATGGTGGTTATGTGCGGTGCTTATTGTGCTCGCAAGTACTAGGAAGCAGCGATTGGCAGAGTTACCCGGTCAGGGTGCTAGGCAATTCATCACACAAATTAAGTGGAATTTTTCTTATAGCTGATTCATAAATTAGATGCATACTTCTTTCCAACAAAGCTACTAATTTCCTTTCCTCTCAGGCACCCAAATGAGACATTGTGTACTTCTTATACCACAGCTTATGAAGTATTACAACTTGTGCTCTTTCACTATTTATTTTAATTACTCACGTTAAATTAGTCTACATGTTTCAAAAGAAGAAGGCCTTTAGCAATCTTAGCTATGACCGTGTTTTCAGAGATCCCATCTGAGACTAAACATATATAGAGAATAACAAAACTATTAATTAGTAATTTGCCCAGGAAGTTCGTAGTTGCTGGAGAGGTTGTGGTGAAGTGGGAACTTTGAGTTCCTTGTTAATCCAAACCGTCATGGACATTCTTAGATTGAAATTTTTTTAAGTGTATTTAGCTGGTATGGGAGGTTCTGCTTGCTGCTGAGTGTATTTAGCATTTTTATGCCTTCTCTGTATATTGCATTAAACAGTGTTGGAGCCATTGTTGACCTTGTCATGAGGAAGTGGCCAGTGAAAGGGGAAGAGATGGCCAAGAAGAGGAGAGGGATAATGAAAATGGATTTAGGCACTTTTACTTCTGTTAATTGATTTCTACTGACGATTTTGCAATTGGGCTCAAAATACTTGTCATCAGTGCACAAATACAACTGTCTGTCTATCTAAATATTACTTTTTGTTTTCACACTGTGTGCTTGTTATTTCAACTCCTCTTCTTATCATGTATGACCAGTTTGACTGACATACTGCATCGTACATAATCTCAGGACAGCAGCAGGAGATACATATTGCACAAATATCCTATGTGTAAGTGCATACCCAGCCTATCCAACAGCACCAGTTCCTTTCCAACTGTCCCCGTTAACCCAGCCCTTCTCCTATTAACTATATGCCAATACAGGGGCTGGGGAGACAGATTTCCATTGTCCCAGCTTATCTCTAAAGAAAGAAGGGATGAATTAAAAGGACACTCCAGTCTCCTAAAGCACTGAATGTCATTGTCCCGCAGACAGATAGGAAGGTTTGTTGTTGATGGCGATTGCTGATCATGCATTATGTGTCTCTTTGCTTCTGGAGAAGCATCTAATTGGACACAAGTCAGCAGTAATGATGACTTCATAGGAGGCAAATCAGTGCTGCAGTGCAGAGACCATCCTAATGGAGGAATAAAGGTGATTTTAGTCCTTTCATGCCTAAAGCATTAGTATGCTACATTGGACTGGCGGATTGCTGTGATTCCTGCGCATTTCCTGTGTGTACTCAATGCTTCTGTATGAGAAGCATCTGATTTGAATCCCATTTATTTATTTCAGCGTTTATCTACTGAAGTGAGAATTTAAAGTGAATTTCAAATATAAGGTCCAAAGTAGCTGAACTGAATGCATAGCTGGTTGAAATATTTTTTTCCATTTTGGCTCTTTTGACCTTCTATTTGGAATTTAGTTTAAATTCTCACTTTAGTAAATAATCCTGTTCATTTGTCAAAAATAAGTCAAAGTTGTTCAATGGATAATTTATGAGCAATTTGACCAGATGAGTTTCATTCATATATACTAAACCAATTTTTTTTAAGCAGAAATGTTAAAAGCAAAATATTAAAGAAACATTCCAAGCACGAAAACAACTACAGCACTCTGTAATTGTTCTGGTGCCATGTTTACCTCCCCCTGTCCACCATTGTAAGTTGTCAAGCCATTTTAGAACAGTTTGACTTCTTACCTTCGGTCTGTTGGGTGCCTTTCCATTGGTAAAGGGAGGATACAGTTCATTACTACAAATTTCTGCTAGTCTAATAAAAAATGGTATTAAAGCATATTGCAATAATTCACTATTTTGTACCCACTATTACCAACAAAGAGTCGGAAGCTCTCTGTCTGAGCTATGCCTGGCATTGCAGGTCATAGCCCATAAGTTTAGAGATCTCAGCTGTTGCTCTCAGCCAATGAGCTGGTCCTACATTGCCAAAAGCTCCTAGTTTCCAGCATAAGTTCTAAAACAGTTTGACTGCGTATAGTTAAGACTTGTGCCTACGCATTCCTGGCGCCATAGCCACTCCAGAGAGCTTCAGTAGTTATGGTCACAATAAAACAGAAATAGGTTGCGCCACAGATTAGTAATGTTAAAAAGAAAAGCTGATACAATTATCAAAATTAAAAACAAGTAGAAACCATAAAAGTCCAATATTTAAAAAAAATAAATAAAAAGACAATACAAAGTCTAAAGTATGAGGTATAGTAGATAATATAGTCAGGACCTTAAATTTGTTGATTTTCTGAAGGTCCATATTTCCCATAAAAAGTAGAAGAAACTAAAATAATGTAATATGTCACAGACAAAAGGTGGGTAGTATACAGTACATAGTGGTCCTACTCACAATTTGTGGAGCTAATACAAGCTCTAGTGTAATTTGCATTCAGTGGTGTTGAACCCCAACTGATAGGATGTAGGTGACGGTGCTTCCAACGGGTATTTTCAGAGTTAGTGTCCCAAAATAAAAATAAAACCCAAGGCAAAATAGTGCTCTCTGTATAAACTAGATATAAAATAACAGATAAAAGGTCTTGTACTCACATTTGATTGAACAGGAACCACTGCTCAATATTTAAGGCATAGGTGGTATAATCCCCATCTAGGATTCTTTAATGAGATGTTCTTTGAAGTTCTAGGTGACCAGGTTAAAATATAAATAAAAATTAGAAATCTAAAAGGTATATGGCTCAATAGGTAAAATGGCCAAATTTTTTTTTGTTACTATTTTTAGGGAGGCAAGAGTGGGCCAGGGGGGCTAGATGGTGGTTTTAACACTATAGGGTCAGAAATAGGTTTTTGACCCTATAGTGCTCCCTTAATATTACTAATCTGTATTTCTGTTGTATTGTGTACATTTTGGGGTTTTGTGAGGGAGCCTCATTTTTAGGTTTTGCTGCTGCATTTATATATTTACTGATAGGTCACTCAGCACTGATCCATTTATTGCTTGTAGTAGTTATGGTGCACGGAGTATTCCTTTGAAAGATCGTGAAGGATCATGTTCAAGATTAAGCCTTTTTTTTTTTACTTTAATGCAAAACATAGCTGTTTGGTGTGGTTTTGTGTTGGTCCCTATCTTCTCAGTGGTTTCTAAATTTCTACTGTTGCTAGATGCTGAACACACACTATGGGATCTGCAACATCTTCTCACAATGGTCACTCAAAAGCCATGAAGCAGGCTAATAAAACAGATGTTGCTGAAGAAGATGATTTGTTGAATGAAGTGGACAGAGAGCAAGACATTGCTCAGTTTCCATATGTTGAGTTTACCGGAAGGGATAGCATTACATGCCCGTCTTGCCAGGGGACTGGATGTATTCCCACAGGTATGATAAATTACACTGCTGTAATGTATTATTATTGTTTAGTTTTTAGTTTTTTTTTCATTTTTAATAATCATTAATGGAACGCTATAGGGTCAGGAATACCAACAACCCTATAGTTAAAAATATAATCTAGGTGGCTTGCCTACCCCCCTCCTTAGCCCCCTCTAAAGGTAAGAAAATATAACTTCTGGAGCCGTGCAGCACTGGCCCTGCCCGATTCGACTCCTTGATGACATAATCAGAATTTACGATTTCAGCCAATCCAATGCTTTTCCTATGGGAAAACATTGGATTGGCTGAAATCAGCAAGGAGACAGGATAGGATTGGGGTCAAATGCTGGCTTGGCCAATGAGCCCCTCTAATAGAGATGTATTTAATCAGTGCATCTCTATGAGGAAAGTTCAGCATCTCCATGCAGAGTGTGCAGCACTGCCCCAGGAAGCATCTGAGGAGTGGTCACTGGAGGTGTCCCTATGGGGCAATATAAACAGTGCTTTTTCTCTGATGCTGAGTTAAGAGTTTGTTTTTCCAGATCTCCTATTTAAGAATAGATTTTGCCATTCAGATTTCAGTTTGCAATTGCCAGGGGTTTATTGAATAAACCCCAAAGAGTTAAGATATCCATTTTTGTGGCTGTCCTATGTTCACACCTTTTTTGCCTCTCAGAATCCTAGAGCAGAGGTGCCCTAAAGGTAGCTCCCCAGATGTTGTAGAACTACAACTCCCATGATGTTTTGCATGCTTTTAGAATTTTAAAAACATCTGGGGATCTACCTTTTGAGCACCCTTTTCCTAGAGTGTATGGTAGGATACCACATTAAAATACTCCACACCACATAATCACATTTTACATCTTATGGTAAAGTTTATATTTCCACGAGGTAACAATGCTTCTTTTTTTATTTTGTTTGTTGTTCCACTGTAATCCACATCCCATCTCCCCTTCTCAAATATTAATTTATTCTGTAGAGACCTTCTTGTTGGTAAATCTAAGGTAAGAAGTCAAACCTTAAGCAAATGGTTTGACTACTTATATTGGGGAGTGTGGGGGTTCTACAGTTCAGCTTTGTCATATTTGCAACACACACGTATACTTCTGTTCAGTAAATACTTTATCATTTAATCGTGTTTTGTTCTTACTTTTAGAACAAGTCAATGAGTTGGTTGCATTAATCCCATATAGTGACCAGAGGCTACAGCCACAGAGAACGTAAGTGTGTTTACATTGCATATATTTCCATAGAGTTCTGTTTTTAGGGGTTTGAAGTGGGGAATTGCTTAAGTGAAATATATTCCTCTTTATAATTCTCTGTATTTATGATGTTCAAACACATTGTTTATTGCACAGTGTCATTGTAGCCTGCATTTACCAAGGGGCTGCTTAATACATGTGATTGCCATGTCCAATGCACTACAATTTATTTATTATTTATCTATTCTCCTGTTAACTCATAGACATACAGTATACATCTTGGTCACTTGTTCACAGTGGCCAACGACGTATGTTGCATGTTATAGGTTTATAGTGCGTCTCTCTGCTATTAGCGAGACCTGGGTATTACTGTGCTATTACACCTCAAAAGTGATGAAGTAAAGGATAGCCCCGTAGGACTGCCCAAAGCATCCGATCACTTTAGCAGCATGCCCAAAAAATCAGATGCCCTCTACCATCCGGCTGTCGGGACAACAGGTACATACTGATTGCAGCAATATTTCTGGATGTCTCCAGCATGTACTTGGCTATTGCTAGCTGTTTCACCAGGGAAGAAGCCAACAATAGTAACAGATTGGATTCCAGCCTGTGTAGAAGCCAGTGACAGTAATTCCATGCATTACCTGAAAGCTAAGTCAGTGTGAGCACTGTGATTGTCTCTCACAGCAGTGACTCATTCCTGGAACCAATTTACTAAACAGTGCACCGTTTAAGGGTTACTGTAAGCACCAAAACAACTTAAAGGGATCCTATAGTGCCAGGAAAACAAAGCCATTTTCCTGGCACTATATGTTTTTAAGGAACCCCTTTTCCTCGTTAAAACCCTTTCAGCCACCTACCTGAATTCCGCTCTTATGTCCCTCAGCACTGGGTCAGGTTCCGTCCACGCTCTTCCCCCACCGATGTCAGTTGGCAGGGGAGACCTAATGGGCATGTGTGCCAATGGCCGTGCACGCATTAGGATTTCCCCATAGGAAAGCATTATTTAATGCTTTCCTATGGGTAAAATCTGATGCTGGAGGTCCTCATGCAAAGCATGGGGATGTCCAATATCAGATAATGGACCAACGGTCCTTTTCAATCCCGGAAGCGTCCCCAGTGGCTGTTTGGTAGATAGCTACTGAGGGGAGACTTAGAATTGCAATGTAAACATTGCAGTTTTCTGGAACTGCAATGTTTTACATTGCAACACTAAATGCAATAGAAACACAGCATCCAGACCACTTAAAGGACCACTCTAGGCACCCAGACCACCTCAGCTTAATGAAGTGGTCTGGGTGCCAGGTCCTTCTAGGGTTAACCCATTTTTTCATAATTATAGCAGTTTCAGAGAAACTGCTATAATTATGAATGGGTTAAGCCTTCCCCTATTTCCTCTAGTGGCCGTCTCATTGACAGCCACTAGAGGCGCTTGCGTGCTTCTCACTGTGATTTTCACAGTGAGAGCACGCCAGCGTCCATAGGAAAGCATTGTAAATGCTTTCCTATGAGACCGGCTGAATGCGCGCGCAGCTCTTGCCGCGCGTGCGCATTCAGCCGGCGGGGCGTAACGGAGGCGGAGAGGAGGAGGAGAGCTCTCCGCCCAGCGCTGGAAAAAGGTAAGTTTTTACCCCTTTCCCCCTTCCAGAGCTGGGCGGGAGGGGGACCCTGGGGGGGGGGCACCCTCAGGGCACTATAGTGCCAGGAAAACGAGTATGTTTTTCTGGCACTATAGTGGTCCTTTAAATAAGCTGAAGTGGTCTGGGTGCCTACAGTGTGCCTTTAAGCTTAATGAAGCTGTTTTAGTTTATAGATCATGCCCCTCTAGTCTCCTTGCTCAATTCTCTGCCATATATGAGTTAATGCAATGCTGTCACCACTCCCCCTGCTTAATTAGTACTACATAATGATAAAATGTTTAGGAAATTTTCATACTGGCAGTGTTGGAACCCAGTCAAAATATATACTGAGGCAAAGTAGAGACTACGAAACGCTGCGGAATATGTTGGCTCTTTATAAATGCTAGTAATAATAAAAATAAAACAGTAAAACAAATGAGTAGCAAAAGTCCAAAAGCATGGATACTCAGAAGAATCTTGGTCCTTAAGAGGTTAATAGAAGTTCAGCATAGTTTTATTTTTGAGCGACCTTTAATTTTTGTTATTCCATAAACATAGAGGTTGTAAATCCCATTGTACATCGCTATGGAATCTGATGGACGCTATATAAATAATAAAATAATAAATCTGATCTAATGGCATCTCTGACATAAATTGGACTAATGTGATTAACTTGCTCTCTATAAAGATTGCTTTGAATTTTAGATAAATGCATGGTTCAATTCCTCATTAAACTCTTGTTCAAGTACATTTTGACTTTGTTGTAGGCTTGTCGCTGCTGTCATGCATGACATCACTAGATGGTTTGTTTATGCCAAACTCAATAGTAGAGACACTACTTTTTTACCCTGATATTTGCATAATTTCATTTATACCTAGCAACAGAAATTCCCCCCACCAAAAAAAATAAAAAAATAAATTAAAAAAGAGTCCGTAAATGGAAATACTACCACTCTGCGTATTGTGATATTCATTTCTTCTCCATTACATTGATACTCATTGTCTAAATTCACCAAAACATATGTCTGTACACACATTTCAACCTTCATCAAACTGAACAATTGTGGTATTGGGGGAGGGAGGAGCAGGCAGTCATATACACTAAAGCATTGTTCCTGTGACAACAGAAATATAAGAAAGTGGGTGAAAAGTTGTCCATAAGACTAATTGCACTGATAAGGATGTTAAAGGAGGATGTTTTGTCTAACCTGTGTGCGTTTTTATATCCTTTTGTGTCATATATTCTATTTGTGTCATATTCATATATAAAAACAGCTTGCATGCCAATATTTAAATTATGTATTTTTCATGGGTGTGGAAATGTTAGAAAAATCTACGTATCCAGGGCTAAAGTGGTAGTCCAATCTACTTGTCCATTGTCGCATTCTACTTGTCCTGACACACAAATTATTTTCAGATTGGGGCCCCTGCTTTGAGCTCTGGACATATTAACCCTGAATTTGTCATCCTCGGTCTCCCATAGTGTGTAGTGTGTGTATGTGTTTGCTATTTATAATTTGTTTGTGTATCCTCTGTGTTTTTGCCTTCCTCCTGCTTAGCTTTCTGCAGGGAGAGGGGGATATAACTTCTGGTGGTTCAGCAGAGGACATACCCTGATGGTCCATCAGAAGTCCTTTATCTTTTTCAGGACCATCAGGGTGTGTCCTGGATTCTTGGTGGTCCAGCAGGGATTACATTCTTGGTGGTCGAATTGGGGAGCATGTGTTCTGCACATCTAGTGGGTGTAAGCTACAGTAATCCCTCTCTCAAATTCCCAGAGCTAAGTGTTTCAGAGCAAAGTCTGGAAAACTGGTGGCTGTTCTCGGTAAGTGCTGAAACCATGAGAGTGTGCGATTTACTGTGGTCTACCCCGTAGGAGATGCAGACTACATGCTCCCTGCCCTGGCCTGAGTAGCCGCTCTGCTGCTTCCCTCCGGCAAGGTTAAAGGCAAAAAGAAAGAGAAATTTACCTGCCTGGTGTCTGGATTTAAATGTCCCTGGTGTCAAGCAATAGGAATTACAGAGTTCCACAGCAATACAACTCATAGTAATGTGCTCTGTGAGTACATGATAGAGCTCCATAGCAGTAACATTTACAGTAATATGCAGTCTGCATGAATGTGTATCAAATAGCATGTGTCTGCTGAAAGGGCTCTGTGACCCAACACCCTGTCCCAAACACGCTCCCAAAGCGAGATACGCACACACACACACACACAGGAAGGTGTTGCAGACACATTCATGGGACACACCCTTTTTTTTTCTACGTGTCAATAGGACACTTGTTTCCCCAGCCACTCAAGTTTGCTGCATTGGAGTTAATTTTTGATCTGAAAACACACCTCTTAGTAAATACCATCATCTTCATGGGTGATGCTCCTCTCATTACAATTGCCGGCATCGGTTTCCTTACTTTCATAGCCCAGCTTTCATTCCCTTCATCCCTCCTTCCATAGTTCATTTCTTCCACACATCAGTTTTACAGTCTTATTTTGAAACATTAGGTGCTAGACATCTATCAGTACAGTAATGGATTTATTTATTTTCCCATAGTGACTGTGGTACTCTTTGAATATCTTAGAAGAGCATCCATTTTACACTCAAAGTTATGTATGAGGTCTTCAAGTATGATTAAAATAACTGCGAGAATATAGTCACAATATAGATGGCTCAGATTACCTAGGGGCATGCACATATAGTGCTGAAATACCGAAGTATCCAAATTAATTAGACTGACTTTTGGTTAGCTGTAGACACTACACTACTAACTATCCATTGTGATACGGAGTCTACATATTAACTATATATTAATTTTGTCACTTCCACCATCTTGGGGGGTGAATTTAGGCGATCTGCCCTTGTAGGCAGTAGTTATAGATGAGTACTCGGCGCAACTCTAATCCTTAAGCAGTCTGAATCCCACTGACGGGTCTATATTTAATTTGTCACCTCTCTACTGTATTCCTCCCCATTGTCGCAGATGGAGTTTCATAGTGACCCATGAGGACGGTACAACACATATAGATACAGCATTGGTTAGACCCACTTAGCTCAGTCTGCTGCATATACTCTGGAGAGAGATCACCTTGAAGATTATGCACCCCTTCAGTGCTGCCGAGCCGTTACTCTAGCCAGCAGCAGACATACAGGCTAAAAATAAGAACTATAGTATTAATACACAACTACTCGCTTCTTGAACTATAAGATATATCAAATATTCACTTCATATCGGCATATTAATGTTCAGCGTGACAGAGCCAAGTCTACCGTTCTGATCTGAAGATGATATTTCACAACAATGTTTTATGCTGAATAAAATAGCTCAGCGTAGTTGGTTTCTAAACCTTGACACATTTGCCTGCAGCTGGACACATATGGCTACTATTTTACTCTAGTATCACCCAGCTTTGGGCTGCCTTTGCAAATTCTATCACCCATATTTGAATCTTAACTGACAGTTATGAGTGATTTTATTTAGTTGCGATCATATTGGTAACTTATTTCGATCTTCTCGTTCTGTATCAATTACCCCCTCCATCATGGAAGGGGTTAATTCAATCACCACAGAGTAGAGTATGTAGTTGGGCTGAAAGTAATTACCTCACTTCTCAGTAACCACGCCCCTTCCATGACGACACTCATGCTGAATGGTTACTCAATTAACCTCCCACATGGGCCACACACAGTTTCTCTTTTCCCCCTGACGAAGGTGCACATTGTACTGCACCGAAACGCATGTCGGGCGTTTTGTTTGGAGTGTGTTTAGGGCATTTATCACTATGCAGTGTAGGGATATCTTTCTGATTTATAGACATGCCTCACTCTCACTAGTTTTTTATTTTTCACTCCTTTATTCTTTTACTGCTCTACCTATCCAGTCAGTTTAACAGGGAGAGAGGTTTTACTACACTTAACTGTTTTAAGTAACCCATTTCCTATATCACTTTCCTGTACATTGTACTTTTGTGTGTGTGTGGATATTTTAGTTTGCAGCTGAATATACTACAGTACTCTTATTATCCAATCTATGTTTATTCATGCTTCACATGGATAGTACTATGGTCTAACCTTTAGTCAATCTCTGTTACTTAACACTTAGACCATGCTTTAACCCCTTGTCTACCTGGGTACACTGGTATACTTTTCCAGTGCACTATTTACCTACCAAGGACTAATGAAGCTACTCTTAACTTGCTGCTTTATTCGGACAGAACTATGGTTTAACCTCTAGTTAATCCCTAGCAGGCCCTTTTCACCTTTTGTCTCCGTTAATATTCGGTATGTCAATTTGTGGCATCATGGAAGTGTTCTTTGGCAGATGTTCTGAGCCCCTCATGGATCAGGACATGCACATGTGTCATAAATTCTAACAGTTCCAACTGTCTCCATCCAACATTCACTTGTAACCAGCATTGTTACCCAGATACTACTGAAGTTACCATAATACGTGTCTAAGTTTTTTGGGAAATATTAAAACAAACATGAAAGCTGCCCGTGATAAGCTTTTACAGCGTTTCAGGAATTATTTCACATAGTTGTTGTTTGATATCCCCATTCTATAATTTGTAAAGTGCTGTGGAATATGTTGGAACTGTATAAATGCTAATAATAACCATAATAATTGTTCACTTTGTTTCTGTGCCTGACCTACGATAGTACAGAGTAATTATACCTTGTTTAACATTAGTGTGTATAAAATATTAACGAAAATGTATGTTGTGTTATCAATCAACGATGTGATGGTGATCTTTACATTGTTAAGATTAAGCCAAAATCTTGTTTGTGTTTTGCAACAGAAAATTGTACGTTGTCTTGTCCGTGCTTCTTTGCCTTTTGATATGTGGCCTGGTTCTGTTTTTCTTGTTTCCCCGATCAATAATGGTGCAAGATGGTGGAATCAAAATGGTAACCGTTTGGTTTGACAAAGAAAATAAAGTTGTAACTATCGCTATGACGGTAAGCTTATATCCCAACTTGAAAAATAACTGAGCTGTGAATTTCAGTGACTGTACTGTTTCATTATTTAAATCTTTAGATAGCTTAATGTGTGTGTGTTTATCTAAACCACTTTCACTGATTTAAGAGTCCTCATAAAGTTAATAAACAGAAATATCAAAATTAATTGAAAAGCAAAGAGGCATAGTAACATTGGCAGGGAATGTGGCAGTGGGAGCTGCAGGCAGAAAATGACACACAAACTGCATTCACACAGATTAATCGTAAAAACAAAACACCTCTATATTGACACACTCACTAACCCTCCACACAAAACTCCAGTGCACATATACACCACTGCATTCACACATACACTTACTGCACACAAAACACCCATGTATTGACATATACTGACAAGTACATGCCACAAATATATTCTGACATACAAATACACCATGTGCTAAAGTGTGTTTTTGAAATATTTACAGGAAAATTACTATTATGTTCAAATTGTTAAAAAAAAAAATTTAAAAAATGAATATAACTGATATTTTTATTGTTGTTAACATTAGTTTTAAACAAACCCTCAAAGCACCATAACTACTACAGTGTGCTGTAGCCCTCTCCCATTATATGTAGTCAAACTAGGGTATGTTGGTTTCTGCTCTACAACTTCCAACAGAGAGACAGAAGTTTCTGCTTAGAAACTTTTGTTGGCTCCCGTGAGCTAAGCCTTGTATTGCAGGACTAGCTGTGTTGCTGAAATCATCTGGTTGTTAGCTGATATTTCACAACCAATGAACCTTTCATTGCTGAGCTTGGTTCATACTGAGAGCTATCAGCTTTCTGTCAAAAGTGGAAGCAGAAAGTGGCGCCTGGCAGATCCCATGTAAGTGGGTGTGACTACTTACAATGGATTAGGGCTACCAGGGAACTCCTGGCACATTATCCACTAAAGTGCAAGATAGTAGTTATGGTGTTTGAAGTGTTCCTTTAAAGGGACACTATAGTCACCACAACAACTACAGTTTAATGTAGTTGTTCTGGTGAGTATAATCATTGCCTTAAGGCATTTTCATGCAAACACTCCTCAGATGGTCACTGGAGATGCTTCCTAGGGCAGTGCTGCACAGTAGGCAGCACTGCCGTTTAGCGTCTCCACGCTCTGCATGGGGACGCTGAATTTTCCTCAAAGAGATGCATTGATTCACTGCATCTCTATGAAGAAGTGCTGATTGGCCAAAATGGCATTTGGCCCTGCCTCCTTGCCGATTCTAGCTAATCCAATGCTTTCCCTATGAGAGAGCATTGGATTGGCTAAAAATCGGCAATTATGATGATGGCATCAAGGAGGCGGATTGGGGGCGGGACCAGCGCCGGCGGACCCTTGTGGCGCTGGAAATAAGGTGAGTTTTAATTCTTTTTAAGGTGGCTGAAGGGGGGGGAGGGGGCAAGCCATTTAAATGGTGGATTTAACACTATAGGGTCAGGAATACAGGATTGTGTTCCTGACCCTATAGTGTTCCTTTAAGTTTAGCTATAGTTCATGAACAATTAAACCGCTGTTTGGCCTCTGACTTTTAGACTTGGTGGAATCTGTCAAGCCCTGTTTTAAATTATTCTTTTTCTTAAAGGACAACTATAGTCACCCAGATCACTTCAGCTCAATGAAGTGGTCTGGATGCCAGGTCCCCTACGTTTTAACCCTTCAGATGTAAACATAGCAGTTTCAGAGAAACTGCTATATTTACATTGTAGGGTTAATCCAGCCTCTAGTGGCTGTCTTCCTGACAGCCGCTAGAGGCGCTTCCTCAATGCGAACATCACATTGAGCACGCAGAACGTCCGTAGGAAAGCATTGAGACATGCTTTCCCATGGGCGTTTTTTTTAATGCGCACAGCTCTGGCCGTGCATGCACATTTGGCTCCACTCGGTAGCTGACATCGGAGGGGGAGAAGAGGTCACCAGCGCCGAGGGATAAAGGTAAGTGGCTGAAGGGGTTTTAATCCTTTCAACCCAGCGGGGGGGCCCTGAGGGTGTGGTGGGACAAACAAGTTTGTTTTCCTGACACTACAGTTGTCCTTTTAAGAATGCTAGTTTTTCAGGGCCACTTTGCATACATATTAAGATTGTTCTGTCCTTATCTGGATTGTACAGTTGCGTAATTATTCCAGCACATTTTATTATTTTGGTTAACAAAACCACGCTGTCTTCATTAATTGTGTTCTCAAAATTAGTTTTATTGTAAACCAGATTAATTGAATTTTAAATGAACTCTATAGCATTAGAAATAAAAACATGTCTTACAACCCAGAGGGAAGCATCTGAAGGCTAGTGCACATTCACAGCAATTCACTGAGCGGTGCCCATCATATGGTCTATGTGGGCATCATTTACTTCCACCACTTACTTCCAGCGCCGCGCGTGTCTGCCGGCACTGGCTCCGCCCCTATGGTGACATCATCAGAATTGCCAATATTTAGCCAATCCAATTCTTTCCCATTGGGCCAATCAGCACCTCCTCATAGAGATACATTGAATTAGTGTTCATCACTATGAGGAAAATTCAGCGTCCCCATGCAGAGCGTGGAGACGCTGAACAGCACTGCTGCCTACTGTGCAGCACGGAGCCAGGAAGCACCTCCAGTGGCCATCTGAGGAGTGGCCACTTGGAGGCATCCCTAGGGGCAATGTTAACAATGCGTTTTCTCTAAAATGGCAGTGTTTGCAGGAAAATGCCTGCATATAATGATTATACTCACCAGAACAACTACTATTTTATTGTAGTTAAGATTGTTCTGTCCTTATCTGGATTGTACAGTTGCGTAATTATTCCAGCACATTTTATTATTTTGGTTAACAAAACCAGGCTGTCTTCATTAATTGTGTTCTCAAAATTAGTTTTATTGTAAACCAGATTAATTGAATTTTAAATGAACTCTATAGCATTAGAAATACAAACATGTCTTACAACCCAGAGGGAAGCATCTGAAGGCTAGTGCACATTCACAGCAATTCACTGAGCGGTGCCCATCATATGGTCTATGTGGGCATCATTTGATGGCGAACACATTCTGGCTCTGTTCTCACAGGGAAAGCACCTCTAGTGGCTGTCTTATTGACCACCGCTAAAGGATTTTTAACCCTGTAATTATAACACTGCTGTATTATTTAAACTGCGATGACTTAGATTGTCAGGTTAAAATAACCACTGCACACAGACCACATCATCCAATTTAATCTATACATTGTTCTTGAAAAAAATGCTAGCAAATGATTTGTTTTATTATTTATGCCTCCTTTTGTGAATTGCATATAATAATATTTCTAAATTACTGTATAATTTCTCATGGCATTTATATCTTATGAGTTCTTCTTTTATGAATTTGTCAATACAGAGTGCTATGTCTATAAAGAATTCCAACTTTTATGCAATATCTGTCACCAATCTAATCACCCAAGTGCAATACATGAATACTGTGATTGGAACGGAACAGCTGACCAATGTTACTCTCATACCACCACTCAGTGATAAAATGGTACGTTGTATTGTGAGCAATAAATTGTGTTGTTTTAAAGTACTTTTACAGACCCACCTTAAGCACTATGTTTTGCAAGTCATTACAGTAAATATTTGAGTAAGTAGGAGCCCAAGGTTATGTGTGTAAAGCAAATGATAACTTTTGTGATACTGATGAAAGAATAGGTGGGTTAGTGGGATTGGTTTTCATGTTGTAAACATGCAACAGGCTGCAAAAAAATGCAGACATGTATGTTTTAAATTAGAGAAAGCTTAGGTATTATTATTATTCAAATTGGTAAAATAAAGTGCATGATTTATTTTCTGAAATGTGATGGTATCAGACATGTATATGTTTTAAATTAGAGAATGCTTAGGTATTATTATTATTCAAATAGGTATAATAAAGTGCATGATTTATTTTCTGAAATGTGATGGTATCTACAGTTTTTCTTTCTCCCCCCCTCCCCCTCCCTGTTTAAAGTACTCCGTCATGGGTTACAGGCTTGTTACACATGTCACACTATTGTCCTGTACATCCAGGACATTCTACAAGCTGGAACTTTTAAAGTCATAAATGTATACAGGATGAGGTCTAATTTAAAAAATAAAAATAAAAAAATATGTAGAAATGCAAGCGGTTTGTAAACTGTCACCCAGCTTGAAAAAGAATGATGAGTGTCGGAGATATGGAATTTTTTATTTGTCACCTGAAGTCTCAATGTAATGTACAGTACTCCATAAGCACAAATATATCAAGGCTGAGGCATCTAATAATAAGCATTTCAGAGAGCTGCAAGCTCTATTTCTTCTGTTTTATTTATTTATTTATTGTATTAGAATGATATGTTTACAGATAGACTATTTCAGCCTTAGTATCTGTGTCAGCATACCTATATCTGTTCATTGTCAACTCTGTGAAGCATTCATTCCCAGTGGTTGCCCCTTCCCAAATTGCACCTATTTCACCCTCTCTTTTACTGCCCCAGTCTATGCACACAAGCCTGGGAACAACATACTTTCTCCTGCTCCTTAAACTTCTTGGCACTGACTAAAACCTGTTTCTCTTTTGCTTTGACCCTGCTACCTCTGTCTCCCAAACCTATGGTGGATTGCCCTTATCCCCCTCCCCCAGGTCATGTGATGCTAAGGGTGGTGGTGTAAGTTGGGTTTGCTTTGCCATTACTGTTCCATCCAACCTTTGCCCCCTTGTTTCTTTTTTTTATCGTTTGAACTCCACTCCATCAATCTCTTTAGTTCTCTCACAGCCCGTATTGCTGTTATCTACAACCCCCCCCAACTCTCCTCTACACTTACTCGACCAACTATGTGCTTGGCGTCCTTACTTTATCTCCTCTGTCATTACTGCCCACTTCTGCTCGTTACCGCATTGCCAACTCTCATCTGCAAGATTTTTCGAGAGTTGCCCCATTCCTTTCAAATTTGATACTCTGGTCCTTTAAGTAGTCAGTAAAAACCCACCTCTCTATGAAAGCTTATCATCTTCCTGGGTGACGCTCATCTCATTTCACTGCCCTCATCAGTTCCCTTGACGCCATAGCCCAGCTCACTCTCTCTCTTACTATTGTTCAATTCGTTCACATTCCACTTTTACCAGCTTATTTTGACACCGACATCTTATCCATCAGCCCCTACCCACTCTAACCGGCTGGTATTTCTCATGTGTGTCTTTACCCCTTCCTCAGAGATTGTATGCTCATTTGAGTAGGACATTCTTTTCCTCTTGTTATATTCTGTATGTAAGTTACTTGTTAAAAATCCTCATTTTAGAATTGCATAATGCTGCAGACTATATTGACACTATATAATGGATAAACTATTATATGACATACTTTCACAAGTATTGTGGAATTTACATTTGGTTAATGTGTTTAAGTTCATGTAAATGTTTAGTTTCGTAACTTAGATAAGATATAATTGAACATAAAGTATACATGAATAAATATTTTTTTTATTTTTTTCAATAATTCAATTGTTCAGACAAAAACACTGTTGACAAATGCAGGTAGATTTTTGTATCAAGAGCTGCATATACATTACTGGTTCTTGTGTTTCCTAGGTTAATGTCACGGTCAAGTTGGAATTGGGTGGGACTCTCTCCTATTTTTAGTAAGTATTTCTTCTTATAGATCTGTGTGTTTAATATTACACAATTTATGTAATTTCTGTATCATAGATCAAGCAAAAACTGTATTCCTTTTTCATCTTCACCTTTACCTTCTGAGTAACTAAAGGAACACTATAGGGTCAGGAACACAAACATGTATTCCTGACCCTATAGTGCAAAACCCACCATTTAGGTGGCTTGTCCCCCCTTAGCCACCTTAAAAGATAATAAAACTCCACTTACATCCAGCGCCGCGCGTGTCTGCCGGCACTGGCTCCGCCCCTATGGTGACATCATCAGAATTGCCAATATTTAGCCAATCGAATTCTTTCCCATTGGGCCAATCAGCACCTCCTCATAGAGATACATTGAATTAGTGTTCATCACTATGAGGAAAATTCAGCGTCCCCATGCAGAGCGTGGAGACGCTGAACAGCACTGCTGCCTACTGTGCAGCACGGAGCCAGGAAGCACCTCCAGTGGCCATCTGAGGAGTGGCCACTTGGAGGCATCCCTAGGGGCAATGTTAACAATGCGTTTTCTCTAAAATGGCAGTGTTTGCATGAAAATGCCTGCATATAATGATTATACTCACCAGAACAACTACATTAAGCTGTAGTTGTTCTGTTGACTATAGTGGCCCATTAAACACTGAGATATATATGATCTACTGGTAATAAATATACTCCATAGATAAAGAAATAGGTTTTAATGACCTATACCAAGTGAATAGAACATTCCATGCCCACTCCCCGTCTCCTAGCCTTTAGTTCGGTCTTCCCACAAGTTCCACTCCTCCTCTAACTGAAATCATCAGTGCTGATGTTCTCAGCCAATCCAATGATTGCCCATGAGGAAGCATTAATTGGGGACTGGTATGCATGAGTGGTTATCACTGCCCTGCACCAGTGCATCTCTATAGATAATGTTTGGTGTCTCTATGCAGAGAGTGGAAACAAATACAAATTTCCTCCAAGAAGCCCTGTCGTGGCTCTCTATGTGTCAGTCAGTAGGAGTGGCGTTAGGCAGCAGTGTAAACCAATCTTTTACTGCAGAGACACCAGAACCATTACATTTAGCTGTATTTGTTCCGATGCTTGTTGTGTCACTTTGTGTTTATAAGTTTACATAATATTGTTCATCTCCCTATCTAAGGCATTGCTTTTGTTTTATCACAAAGGTTTTACTGAGTTTTGCTTTTTCACTTTACATGTGTGCAATTTACCCATAGGAATGAGTAAGAGGTGTACTGTGCAGTTTAAGCATTTCACAGTACTCTTTCAAGGACCTCCCTTTATATCGGGAAAGCATTGCACATTTTTTTAGGTTAATATCATACAAAAGTAAAATTAGATGACGATATTAAAAAAAAAAAAAAACGCAAATGAAAAATGCTAAAAAAAGGTTTGCAAATCACTGTGAAGTTTGCTAACGTTTTACTCTGAAAGCTGGATTGTCAGTATTTTGAGTTCCATCGTTTCTTTAAATTTTTCCCTCAATTTAGTGACTTTTGCACCTTGACCTCTGTGAAAGTTCACAACATTGTCGTTTTTATGAGGTATGTAAAATTTTATTTTAATGTTTGACATTTTTAGACTGTTATGTCCCATCATCCACAAAATTACATTCTAGAAACCATTAGTACGTTATGGTTATTTATAAACAATCATGATTTTCACCTACAGTGACCCCTTAAAGTTAAGAACATCCCATAAATCATAAACGAACAGTATAGGGTTTAGGAACACAACCATGTATTCCTGACCCAATAGTGTTAAAACCACGATCCAGCCCCCCTTGTCCGCCCTTACACCCTAAATATAATTAAATTTTTACTTGTATTCAAGTCTGCAGCTGCTGTCTCTGCCCCTGATCTGTCTGTTTGGCTGATGTCATAAAAAGTGATTCTCTGAGCCATTTACAATGCTTTCCCATAGGATTGGCTGAGACTGTCAAGGAGGCAGATCGGGGCAGAGCCAGCACACATCAAACACAGCCCTGGCCAGAATCTCCTCATAGAAATGCGTTGAATCAATCAATCTTGGGGGAAAGTTTATTGTCTGCATGCAGAGGGTGGAGACACTGAATGGCAGTACTGCAGAGTGTGAAGCACTGCCCCAGGAGGCACCTCTAGTAGCCGTCTGAGTGGGTAGAGTTATCACTAGGCTGTAATGTAAACACTGTGTTTTCTCTGAAAAGACAGTGTTTACAGCAAAAAGCCTGAAGGGAATGATTCTACTCACCAGAACAAATACCATAAGCTGTAGTTGTTCTGGTGACTATAGTGTCCCTTTAAAACATAATCTCACAATTTTTGGATGTATGATTTTTGTATGCTACCATAACCTTTTCTTTATGTGTGATCAATAGAATCCAGGTTATTCTTTTAGTGCTGGAGCAAAACGCATTCTAACAATATTGCAGACTTACCTTTCCTTTTACTGACCTATTATGTATTCTTCTCTTCCAGAACATCTTTGAAATTCTCCTATATTGGGCACTTGTCTCAAAGTTCCTTGGAAACCTATCAATATATTGATTGTGGAGCAAATTCAACAATACCTAGAGATCACTCAATAAACTAACAATGTCTCTGAGTAACAATAGACATAATACCTGATGTTTTCACTGTGATACTTCAGTGGAAAGCATTATATTTTTGTTACCACTGGAATCTCGAGTACATGTTTACGTAAAAATATACAAAAATCAAAAAAATTTACTTAATTATGACATTTTCTGTATAATCATGTTGGAGGGCTTTATACTTGCTTGAGCAGTTTTGTCCTATACTACAAGTGAAGCAGTAGTATTTAATCATGTTTAAAGGGACATTTCATTTCAGAACAAATCTTCTGGGTCTGCTGTTGCTGCCTGGAGACGGAATTGGCTGTGATCGCTCAGGCAATCCTTGTTCCTCCATTGGTTTTAAAGGAAATACTGCACCCATATGCAGCAGGGGTTTATGGCATTTATAGTGCAGCTCTCTGGTATGATCTGTACAGCCATCTGCAGAAATGGAATTGAGTAGTTTCTTTCATGAAAAATATTTGTGAAGCTGCTCTTGCAAGTTAAAAAAGCTGCCAGATTACTTGTATTAACTTGTGTGAATAGTTTTTTGTTTTGTTTGTTTTTTAAATTAATTAATGAAAGTAAAACACATATTTGGCATTGCGGAATATCGAATTTAAGATACTCTTGCGTGCTTGATCTGCACAGTGGGGTATTAGAATGGTCTTTCATGTTGTAATTTCTTAAACAATGGTGAATTTTGTTTAAAATGCTAGTATTTACTTCTGGTTTGTGAACAAGAAGGACAAGTATTAAATATTAAACACCCACATTGTTCGCAGCCTAAGCAAGGATTTTTCAATTAGCTGTATTTTGTCATTAATACAATAGCACATACGAAGCACAAGATGTTTTTTATGTTTAGTTATTAAACAATAAAATCACTCTGCACATCTAAAAGTAAAAAGGTGGCATTTAAATATACTTTTCTGCTGTAGAGCTATTTTTTTTTTTTTTTTTAAACAAATTAAAAAAACAAACAAGCGGGTTTTAGTCAATTGTAATCTAGAATTGCTTTAAAAGATTGGTTTCTGTACTTGTGTACTCAAGAAGTATTTTTCCTAATTTTAATCAGACATTTTTAAATTTCATTTTGTACTGCTCTTTAATAATCCTATTCCACAATAAAATGATGGGCTGTATAGATCTGCCAAAGCTAAATAAGTGGAATGTTACCGTTTTCGTATACAGTATACAAGGACAAGACTGTCTTAGTAGGATTTGGTAATTAAAGACTTAAAATACGTGTTTGTTTGTTTTTTTAAAGCAAAAAATAAAACTTTGGGTACTATATTGCCTTTGAAGCTAGTTCCATATATTCCTAAATTATGTAATGTCAAATTGTATTAGGTTTTGTCTTTGAATAAGTTAAGCATTTGTTTCAGAATTATAGATCACAGTTTGAATTCTGTGTAGAAGGTATTTATTTAGAATTCTAGAGCATTTGTCAGTATAACAATCTGGCATAATTCAGCTTGGGAAGGATATATAAACTGTGCATTCACATAATTTCTGAGTGTATTTAAATTACTGCACTGTAATGTATATATTGTCTCATTTTCTGTTTCAGACCACAGCAGTTGGAATAGCTTAGAAAAATATATGCTCTAATTATATTCCTTATTGTGACTATGGACTTACTACTTTCTCCAACTGCTATAATATATAGTACAGAGTACATTTGAGGATATTTATTTGCACATTCTTCAGTATCGTAGTAAGAAGTTGGTCCATTGCTCTACTATAGCAAGAGCTTGTTTGACTTGCTGCTAAAGATCTGAGAATCCCATTATCCTCTTAGTTGTATTCTAAGCTAGTTGGGAATCATGAAAGCATTGGCTCAACAGCAGGCAAAATAATCTTTTAAAGTAACAATATTAAAAGCAAATTGTGAATTAAAAGTAAATTTCAAATGTAAGGGTGGATTAACTGGAAACATTCTCTAAACCAGCAATGCTTTCAGTTCAACTATTCTGGGCTTAAATTTGAATTTCACTTTGAATTCTCACTTTAGAAATTACCCTGACAGTGTTTGTCTTTTTTGGTCATATTCAATAAAGTGTGGATATTCCAATGTTTGATGAACCCAATCAAGCTTAAAATTTATGTAAAATCCTAGTTTCTGAAAGGAAAAAAAATATGTTGCTGTGGCACTTGAAAATGAATCTCCATCTGCTTAGTTCTTCAAACATTTGCCAATATCTGGGTATCCTGTTAATGATCAGGATGCTTCACACGCATTATTTTATTTTGTCGGCAAGAGCTAGGTTAATATTGCTGGGAAAGTATTTTGTTTACATGTACTTTTTGAAGGACTGATTGTTTTGTTTTACATTATGCACAGATGTTAAGCTTTTTAATTTGGTTAGCGAAGAGTGAATAAAGGGCATAAAATAGTGGCTCCTAAACCCCAGTTTAGTACTCATTTGAGACATCATTCTAATTTTTTTATTTTATTTTTTGATCCTCTATAAATTGCTAAATAACTTCATATTTATCAGACTCAAAGCAACTGCCTGGATTAAGTGTCCTGTACCATCACTGCTTTTAATAATGCAGTGAAGTACCCTTTATCACTAGCAATGGTTTAACGAAGTTGGTGTGCAAAATTTAATGTAATGTATATTATATTACAAAAGAAAATGGGTCGTCAAGCAAATGCCATCTTTATAATTTTGTGTTCTAAAAGTTTAAGAACCACTGAGTTGAACATGGACTTCATTGACTGTTGAATGCTAAAAATTTGAATTTGACTGTTTAAATCTTTTTGTCATTATACTGGTATTTTATTTTTAAAACATGATTTGACTTGTGTACATTAATTTAGTAAGATTAATAAAATACAAAATAAACTTCAACTGTTTTCTTCTCGTTTGATTACACATTATGTTCTATGAAAAATTTAAGTATTGATTCATGAGTTTACCTTTTGCTTTCATTTATTTTATTTTGTTCCACCATATCCTGTAAGTTCTGAATTTTACCTGTGATCTAGTAAAATACAGAAAATGACCATGTATAATGATAAATATATCCACTCGGTGTTCTCAGCATACCTTCAAGTTACACTGGATAGCTGGATAAATTTTTAAAAATGTATCAAATGTAATAAGAAAAGTATCCTCTTGGTGGCCTCAGTATACCTAAAAACGTAAAGTGCTTTCTGTATAATTAAACACTTTTTTGATAAGATTAACCCCTTAGGGACACATGACATGTGTGACATGTCATGATTCCCTTTTATTCCAGAAGTTTGGTCCTTAAGAGGTTAAAAACACTCTCATTTTCTGGTCTCTGGAATAGGGGCTGCAGTCCTCCCAGCTGCGTGTTCCAGCTATGACGCAAAGTCACTTTGGCGGATGGCTCTGTTGGATGAAATGTGATCGGTTGCTGGTTGTAGTTAAAAGTGCAGGGGTTAACCGAATATGTTTCATGGACTACAGATCCATTTCTTCACAGCACTGGTAAAATTGCATTTTAAGTACAATATTATTTTAGCAAACAGATTTGGGCTCAGCATCCATTTACCCCTTGGCTACTTAGCTATTGTATCCTTATAGGGTGATATTTATGATTATTCAAGAAGTTGGATTAGAACATGCATTGTAATTTTCTTATCTAATCTAGTTTATATATATATATATATTTATTTTATTTTTTTTATTCTTGTTTAGTGTAATAATATATCTCGCATTCAATAGCTTTAACAACTAGATAATTTACTATTTTGATTTGATCTTTTTATCACATATTGCATCAGAACCTTTACCTCCGCTAATTCCCTTCTGTCAGTCATTCCGGACCGACTTGGCATACAAAGAGACCCATTTCCCCCCAATAACTTGACAATGCCTAGTTCTGGAGGTACAACACATTTTTATTATGCCACACTCGGATTTTATGCAAAGCCCCATGCAAGAGGTCTCCAACACTCCCCAACAGGGTCCTCCCCCTCCCAGGGTTTTTAACGCAGGAAAAAGGGACTTTGTTTCTGTCACCCAAAGCCAGGGTCTCCCGCTCCAGATGTCAGGGGGGGTCTTCATCCCAGGAGTCTAGGTATCTGGGAGTCAAAATGCAGGAAAAGGCTTCTGCCTCTTTGTCTCCCAGCCACAGAAAGCCTGCCAAACTAGCCCGTGCCCCAAAAAGGTGCCCACACCAACCGCAGGGACCCCAACAATGGTACTTGTCTTGAACAGCCTCTGTTTGTGGTGTCCCTTTGTGAAAACAGGCAAGGGAAGCATCTCCTTTAGGGATAAAAATGCTCCCTCTGTCTGGCGTTCGTCTATACGAATGGCGGCCACCCATGGAAGCATTCATTAATTACTTCCCTCGCGGTTTCACACTTATGTTGCGAGTGTTAACGTTCTCATTGATTGGTGTGGACATTGCAATGGGGCCCTGGGGAGGTCCTTGTTCGGGAACTGAACGAAGAGGGATGCAATTCACGAATGCTCCCCCTGTAAGGCGTTTGTCTATACAAAAGGGTGGCCATCCAGGAGAGGACACGCGCCAAGGCATGTCAGGGTGCGAACGTTCTAATGGACATTCTAACGAGCATTCTAAATGGACCATTGAGGTGATTCCCTTATTGGAAGCACTCCCGAACGGGGAGCGGGCACAATATGCTAACACATAGGGCAACACATATAATAAGAGAGGGGAAATGTACGAACGGCAGCGGTTCCGCCACACAACTACTATTTCATTTAGTGTTTCTTTTGTAAAATTATTCATGCCTTTTTATGTCTTGACTCTTCATTTTTCTTTCTTCCAAGCTCTTTTTGTATTTTCTACTACATCTTATTTCTGTCTTGTAAATCAGGGCTGCCCAATTTGGGACTTCCAGCTATCTATTGACAAACACATTCAGAATCTATGCTGTCTCCTGTTTTTAGGACAGCATTTGGGGAATAGCTGTCAAACATCTTGAAACTCTAGGCAGGGCCGGTGCTAGGATTTTTGACTACACAGGTGAAGATGCATTTTGACGTCCCCCCCCCCAAAAAAATAAACAATGCATCTTCACCTCTGTGTCACGTAGCCCTCTTTTGAATTTCTTACCCCCATTAGTGTTGCATATCCACTCTCTCTTGAATGTCTTACCCCTTTGGCCCCTTTGTGCCTTACACCCCCCTTTAGTGTGTCTCCTACAACCCCTCTTATGTATTTCTTACTTCCCCGCCAGCCCCTATCTATCTCTCTTTTTCTCCCACATAGACATAGATACAGGCAAAAATACATACATGCACAAACATACAGACACACAACCATACAAGCACACAGACATAATTTTTCAGGCACACAGTCACAAAGATATACAGACACACAGTCATAAAAGGCACACAAACAAACACAGTCATACAATCTACACATACAGGTACATTGTCGTACAAACACAGACATACATTCATACAGACACAGGCACTCACAGAAATACATACACAGACATAAAGAAACAGAGATAGGCATATAGAGACATACATACACAGACAAACAAAGAACCCTGCACACTGACACCGTGTAAATGCTCCGGCCATCAACAGAGGTGGATGCTCCATGTCAGGCAGACATTGCTGGATCCACCAGTAAAATCTTCAAAAGGAATAAACGCAGGCAACACTCCAATAGTAAGGATGGTATATTTATTGGTAGGTGAACCACCCCATAGAAAGTGTGATGTTTCAGCTCATGCAACAAGGCTCTGCTGAGCCGAAACGACGCACTTTCTTTGGGGTGGTTCACCTATCAATAAATATACCATCCTTACTATTGGAGTGTTGCCTGCGTTTATTCCTTTTGAATATATTCACACAGTCATACAGAGACATACATACTGTAGGTCTCTGTATGACGGTCTGTGTATGTACACAGGATGGCTAAAAGATAGATCCCTATCTGTCGTGCAACTTCAACAATGCTTTGAAAGCTGGGGCTCTACCGATTCCCCATGCTTGCAGGATTGTATTTAGCATGGAGCAGTATTTGTGTGTTTGACTGTAAGCATGTGTTTGTATGGAGTATGTTTGTATGATTGTAGTGGTGTGTTTGTATGTAGTGTTTGCATTTGAATGCAAGCATGCATTTATGTGTAGTGTTGGTTTTTGAACGCAGGTGTGTGTTTATATATAATTTTGGTGTCTGATACAGAGGTGTGTTTGTAGTGTTGACATTTGAATGCAGGGGTGTGTTTGTATGTAGTGTTGACGTTTGCATGCAGGTGTTTATTTGTGTGTAGTGTTGTGTTTGAATGCTGAGATATATGCACATATACACATACACTGCCACACACGCACACACTGTGATACACATACACAAAGATATACACACTGACACATGCAGATATACATATACACAAACTGATACACATTCAGATAGACACACAGGTACACACAAACACTGACAGACATACAGATAAACACACAGTGACATACAGACACACATACACAATGATAGGGAAGAAGACACACAAAGACACACTAACAGACATTTAGATACACACAGACACATGGACAGAGACATATACATACACACACACACACACACACTGACAGACATGGATACACACACACACACACACTGACAGACATGGATACACACACTGCCTTCTGCTGCTGTAGTCTTCTTGGGAGGACTTCCTCCCATGCTGATTAGAAGGGGGCCCGTAGCTCGCCCCTGCTGGGCACCAGCCGCGCTGTGTGCTTCAGTGGGAGCAGGGACATGACGTTCATATCCCCGCCCCCTCCACAAAGTCCGCGGCACTGCAGGTTGGCGCTCGGCCACGCTACAAGAAGTGACCGGCAGGAGAGGGGAGCTGTGCGCTTCCCTCCTGCCGGTCACCCGGACATTTGCGCCCCCGGGCCGGTGCGCCCTAAGGCGGCCGCCTGTGCCGCCTTATGGACGCGCCGGCCCTGACTCTAGGTTAAGCATTCCACACTATCTTTCTTAGAGGGTGTTAATGGAAGTTATCTAATATTAGCTGGAATTCCAAAGTCTGATGGCTGAGCTGTGTACAGTGCACAGATTTAGTTGATGGTTACTAATTAATTAGCACATACACAAGGTACTTACTGGAAACTCTTAAGAACCATAACCCCTATAACTTATGCAAGAGGTCTCTGGGTGCCTTTTATTGTGGTTTTTTTTGTCACCAAAACAACTTTAGCTTAATGAATTAGTTTTATTGTGTATATATCATGACCCTGCAATCTCACTGCTCAATTCTTTACCATTTAGGATTTAAAGTTTATATTTGTTTATGCAGCCCTAGTCACACCTCCCCTGCCAGTAACACAGCCCACATGGACAAAATGGTTTGATTTCAATGGCATCTTATCTTACTTTTAAAGTTTTTATATCCTGCTCTGTAAATTGAACTGTAATTAAATATAGGAGTTCTCTGCAGTGTTTAGCAAGATATTAACAAAGCAAGAGATACATTCTAAATTAAACAGAATTTGCAATATAGGAAGTGTAAACATTAGATGACTCAATACAGGAAGTAATGTATTATTTGTTATTTATCAATAGTTACTTTAGAGCAAATTTTTTTATTTTGAATATACCCTCATGTTTTGCTCTTTACTTTTATTATCTATGTTTTTATTTTATGTATACATTTTGTATTAGGGTGTTCACTATGCGTGTGTCTTGTTTGTTTCCATTATTATTATTATATTTTATAATATTTAATGGCATACTGCCGATGCTCCAAAACAATGGGTGACCCTGGACAGCGGGGATGCAGAGGCTCAGCTGAAGTTGATGGTGTGGCGGGCAGGGGAGGGGATGGCAGGGACCCGGTGGCGAGGACGTGGGAATCTATCAGAGAACGGACACATGTCTCTCCTGCCCCTAGCCCCTTACTCTCCATAACACACAACCCCAACATAGGAGGGGAACTCCCCTACCGGTGCTTGGTCGTTCTTAGGTGAAGGGGAATGCCACACGGTCCTAAGAGAGGGATCTCTGTGGGGCTTAGACTCACTGCTGGGAGACAGGTCAAGGACACCCATGATATCTTTCAGATATATGCA